CACTCCTCAACCTCCCAAAGTGCTGGGATTACAGTGTGAGCCACCACGCCCAGCCCCTAAATGACCTTTTGAAGAAGAGCTACCTAGTCTTTACAGGAACAAGAAAGAAAACATATACTAATCTGTACTGTGTCATACTTAGAGGTACAGAAGTTTACTTTTTGTAGTTAGCAGTATCTAAGTAAGGCTAACAAGACAATGTTTTTTTTTGTTTGTTTGTTTTTTTTTTAACAGTGAGTTTCCTTTTTCTCCCATGCACCCTACATTTTGTGAAAGTGTATCAGTAGCAGCAGCCCCTTGGTTTGATTCCCTAAAATTTGGGCCATTACTTTGGGTGCTCATTTTTCATCCTCAGATGTGATAGTTTGTGGAAGGGTAGTTTCTGGTATAGACATAAATAGGTACACTAGAGTGTGATAGGGCTGTCAGTATGCCCATAGTGGACCAATTATGAATTTTTCTGGAAGTCATTACAATGGACCTATTCACAATCCTTCTCAGTCTTTTCAACAATGTGTAAGTTCTTAAATCACTTCTATTAAATTTATTCCTGCTTAGTATATATATAATATATCTATTTTAACTTCAGTGAATCAATCTGTATAGTTTTTAACTTTTATAATAAACTAAATTACAAAGAATAAAGATAATTAAAGTAACAGGACAGAATATTAGTGTTAGTTATGATTAAAAAAAAGTGAAAGTAGAGCTGATACTTTAAAAGGTAGAAAAATACGGGCATGAGAAAAAGAAGATATGGAAGATGTTAATGTATTATAATTTGTTAAAATCAGCTCCAGGACTTTCGGTTCTTTACACAACAGAAGTTCATTTCTCCTCATATCACAATCTAGTGTGTGTTGGTAAAAAGCTTTGTTTTCTATAGTCATTCAGAGAACCTACATTTCCCCTCTTTCATCTTACACTCCTCAGTATCCTCATCAGTCAACTATTTTGATTTGCCCAGGCAAACGGGAGGAATTGATCTTGCCAGCCTCAGAATCCTCTTCGTTCAATCTGTGGGTGGAGAAAGGTAAGTACATTCATGCAAGGATGACTTGCATGGACCAAACTTGGGAGTTACATGTGTCACTTCTGTTAAAATTTCATTGTGCTGAATGCAGTCAGAAGGTTATACCTAATTGCAAGTAGAGCTGAAGAACATCATCTTGTGGTTTCTAGGAAGAATAGAAAATAATGCTGAAAACCAGAAGCAATCTCTGAAAAATCCATCCCTCTGTTCACAAAAATTGAGTTTATACTCTCCTCCACATAAAACACATTTGTTCTTCCTCCAGAAGAAAAATTTGAACTCCCATCAAATTATTGAATCTAGCAAATTATGCAAGACTTTTTGAGGATGAATATTAGGTCATAAGATTGTCCAATGGCAACCTGTGAAGTAAAGAGACAAATTATCTGTTTCACCATTAAAAAAATCTCCAGTCATGGGATGACAATACTAGAAATTTACTGTCAGTAGGGAGAACAATGATACAAACAATAGTTACTTGTCCATAATAACGTGGTAACTTCTTTGGGCAGAAGTGATAGAGGCGTCCTATCAACAAAACTAACTGGAGCTCCTTGATTAAATTTTAATGAAAGAGGAAGCAGGATGTTGGTATTTTATGTTTGTTTGCTGTTTTCTAAGTCATTGTATTAGTTCCCTAAGGCTGCTGTAACAAACTACTCCAAACTAGATGACTTAAACAACAGAAATTCATTGTCTCACAGTCTGGAGCCTGGAAGTCTGAATCAAGGTATTAGCAGGATTGGTTCCTTCTTAGGGTGGTGAGGGACAATGAGTTCAATGCCTGTCCCAGCTAGCCTCTTTACTGGCAATCTTTGGCATTCTTTGGCTTGTAGATTTCTGCTTCTATCTTCACATGGTGTTTCCCTGTATAAATGTTTATCTGTCCAAATTTTCTCTTTTTATGGAAAATAAATCATATTGAATTAGGGGTCCATTGTATTCCAGTATGGCCTCATCTTTATTCATTATCTCTGCAATGACCCTATTTCCAAATAAGATCACATTCTAGGGTACTGGGGGTTAGGACATATGAGTCTTGGGAAGACACAATTCAACTCATACAGGCATAACTAAATAAATGCTTTTTATTTTAAACTTAGGTTTATAATGTATTTGGATACGAATTCCTTTTAAAAGAATGTGGTTCTAGGCTCTACATGTTTAATTCCGTATGTCAGTAACCATACCTAAGTTGCTCTTCTACACCTAATCCTCAATGCTGATTTATATCTTTGCTTTCTCACCTACAAGAATCTCTCTTAACTTATTAAAGTTCACAATGAAACCATCAGACTTAGGTGAAAAAGCCAATCTTCTCAACTGGTTTTTGCTGCAATAATTGATTTTAATAGATTTTGTTATTTGAATGCAATTTTAAGTGTTATTTCTTTCTTTTTAGATTTAAAAGCAGTCAGCTTTTCAAATCCTTTAAACTCCAAATGTTTCAACTCTCTGTTTTCTTTCAAATTTGCGTGTAAGCCCACCAATCTTTTTCCTGAGTTTACTCCTTTTTGATGATACATTACTAAAGTTGGCCAGTTATAATCAACACACTATGATTATGACTCTTCCCAATCACTTCCCATTGAACTGGTAAGTATGTGATCTATTTTCTAAGTTGTTGTGGGCTATAGCGTTACCAAACATTTGGCTAATGAGGCTCTCCAATACGCCAACTTTCTTTGCCACTGCTATCAGATGTTTTTTTGGTAGTATAGAACTTTAAGTTACAATATTTATATTGGTCAGGGTAGGCTAAGTGCTGTAACAATAATTCACCAGTTTCAATATTTAAACAAAATGAAAGTTAATTTCTTCTTCCATTACAGTTTGGTAGAGAAGGGGCTTCACTGAATTATTCTGAGAAAAAGAATCCCTCTTTTTCCCGTAATCTGCACTTGGATTCTTTTCTCTTCAGCTTGTGGCATTGAAAAAGAACAAAAACATATAGAAGGATTTTAGAAACCAGACTGAACATGGTATCCCCTATTTGTGGTAACTTTTCATGGCTAGAAGTAGGGTGGTCACATGGCAATATCTAACTGAAAGGGAGCCTGGAAGATGTGATCAAGATGTATGCACAAGAAAGAAGTAGAAAAATGGATGGTGGTGACCACAAGGAGTCTCTCACTCTCAGGACCAGGGCAGGAATCTAATGTTTGACAGTGTTCCCAATCTGAAGAACAGAGAGGCACCTGGCATAGACAATTGTTGGTGGGAAAATAAGTGAATGTTTTAGTATACTACTTAGTGTTCAGTGTTGATATGTGGGGGAGCTTTGAGTATTGTTATAACTACACTGTAAGATGGAAGAGTGATGAGGGTTTATGTAGATGAATTCACCTCTCACCCAGCATAGCAGGAATGCCTACAGATATTCAATCTCAATCAGTTAAAGAGCAATATCACTACACTATTCAGAGATGTATCTGTTACCATAAGAACTAAAATCAGAAATGTTTAAAACTTGTGGCTTTTGGAGATGGGAGGCTAGAGAGAGGAGGAGTTGGGCACAAGAATATTGCTTCTCCTTGTAAATTGTAACCTTTAAATTATTGGATGGGACACATAAATTATTTTGACAAAAGAAAAAAATTAACTGTACTTTTTTGTACATTCCATATAATTTATATTGATAATGTCATTTTATGGTTTTAAACAGTGTTTTAATACAAAAAGAACACTCATGTTAACAATGCAGTAGCCCTAACTAATGGATTGTTACTAATAGCTTTGGGCAAAACTATAAAGCTTTGCCTAGTCATTTATCGGCTAACAACTTCAAGTTTTAACTTCTCACTCTTCTCCAAAAAACCATGTTTCTTTTGCCTATACTTTGTGCTTACCAACAATATTCTAGTCATCTTACCTTGAAACTGCTCTGCCTCTCTTTACTCAGCTTCTGCATTTCATTTATTTGCAAGAGGACATAAATTTTTATTCTATAGGTCTGTCTATACTTTCATAACTAACTTATTACTATTATCTTAGATTTGACTCATCTCAAAACTAGGTGATGTTAGTAAATATCTATGCCATTTTTCTAACATTTACCCCAATGCCAATTCATCCTGAACGCTACTGACAGAATAGTCTTCAAAATCTCTGATGTCTGACTCCTAAAGCAGCCATGTTATGTATTGCCTTCGTGACATTTAACACGCTTTATAATTTTGTTTCTAATTGTCTTTCCAACCTTTTATAATATGACTTGAATGCCTGCAACAATCTGAATATGTTTTCCAAAATTCATAGGTCGAAACTGAACCATCCAATGTGGTAGTGTTAAGAGGTGAGACTTTAAAAGGTGGTAAAGTAATGAGGGTGGAGTTCTCAAGATGGGATTAGAGTCCTTATAAAGGGGCTTGAGGGAATGAATTTGTTCTCTTTTGCTCCTCTGACATGTAAGGACACAGCAAGAGGTCCTCACCAGACACTAAATGCTGGTGCCTAGATCTTGGGCTTTCCAGCCTGAATAAGTGTACTAATTAAATTTGTGTTTTTGTTGTTTGTAAATTACTCAGTCTCAGGTACTTTATGATAGTAGCACAAATGATCTAAGACAATGCTCACCAATAATGATTAATGTATAGCCTCTTAATTGTGCTTTTGATTTATAATTCTTTTTTTTTTTTTTTTTTTGAGACGGAGTTTCACTCTTGTTACCCAGGCTGGAGTGCAATGGCGCGATCTCGGCTCACCGCAACCTCCGCCTCCTGGGTTCAGGCAATTCTCCTGCCTCAGCCTCCTGAGTAGCTGGGATTACAGGCACGGGCCACCATGCCCAGCTGATTTTTTGTATTTTTAGTAGAGACGGGGTTTCACCATGTTGACCAGGATGGTCTCGGTCTCTTGACCTCGTGATCCACCCGCCTTGGCCTCCAAAGTGCTGGGATTACAGGCGTGAGCCACCGCGCCTGGCCTATAATTCTTTTTTTTTAATTTTTTTGAGATGGAATCTCACTCTGTTGCCCAAGCTGGAGTGCAGTGCATGATATCAGCTCACCACAATCTCTGCCTACATGATTCAAGCAACTCTCGAGCCTTACTCTCCCAAGTAGCTGGGATTATAGCTGCCCACCAGTTGCCCTGGCTAATTTTTTTTTTCTTTCTTTCTTTCTTTTTTGAGATGGAGTCTCACTCTGTTGCTCAGGCTGGAGTGCAGTGGCACAATCTCAGCTCATTGCAACCTCTACCTCCCAAGTTCAAGTGATTCTCCTGTCTCAGCCTCCCAAGCAGCTGGGATTAGGGGCGCACACAACCATGCTGGCCTAACTTTTTTGTATTTTAGTAGAGGCAGAGTTTTACTGTGTTGCCCAGGTTGGTCTCGAACGCCTGAGCTCAGGCAATCTGCCCGCCTTGGTCTCGCAAAGTGCTAAGATTACCGGTGTGATCCACCATGCCTAGTCTATTTTTTGTATTTTTAGTAGAGACAGGGTTTTACCATGTTAGCCAGGCTGGTCTGGAACTCCTGGCCTCAGGTGATCCACCCACCTTGGCCTCCCAAAGTGCTGGGATTACAGACGTGAGCCACTGCACCAGGACTGATTTATAATTCTTTTTGCTTATCCTCTTTCAGGTTTTTGAATCTGGAATATCTATACTTACAGCCGTAAAGTAGTCTTTCTTAAGAGCTTGAATAAAAGACCACAGATTATAATTTTCATTAATTTTAATAGAGATCTTACTGTAATTAGGCACTATTTTAAGTAAACAAAGTTTTACCTGGCTGCACCAAGCTGCTGTGATGACATTCTGTATCTATCAGTTACACTGTGTAGTTAGTTTGGCATACATTCTTAAAGTTCCTCATTTTTAACGCACTTGCTCTCTCATAAGGTTGTGGACTCCTGCACAAGAATATACTGCAAAGACATTAAAAAACAAAAATATATTATGAATGAATAAATGTACACAAAAATATGAAGTAAAAGGAATTTAATATAATGTTCTACTTTGAAACCATTTATATTTTTTCAGGGTTGCAAAAGTTACCATGATTAATTTTTTTTCAATTGAGGTGTGCACACAAAATCACATGGGATGCATCTGGCTGATGGCTTTGGATAAGGGATGTTGCAGAAACGAGTTAAGTATAACATGAGGCATCATATTGTGCAGCTTATTGTTCAAGTTAGGTAGTGCAAATTTCATGAAGGTTTAGTTTTGTATTCTTTATGAGAAAAATAAGTATTGGTTTTTCTCAGTGCTAACTGAATATCTTTCAAAGAAAACATTTTATTATGAAAGTTTATTGAATATAATGCAATAATAATGTGCAAAATGCTCCAAAAAACACATGGAAAGAACCAGAAGTTTGGTGAAACTGCTTGTCTACAAAAGGGTAAGAAACCGGAATATATAAAATCTAATTGTGTGTATGTTACATAGAATGAGTACACAATAAATGTTATTCATTGCCTTTTATGACTATAATTATTTTTCTTTTCTTTTTTTTTTTAATATGGAGTCTTGCTGTCACCCAGGCTGGAGTGCAGTGGCAAGATCTCTGCTCACTGCAACGTACGCCCCAAGGTTCAAGCAATTGGCCTGCCTCAGCCTCCCGAGTAGCTGGGATTACAGGCATCTGCCACCATGCCCAACTAATTTTTGTATTTTCAGTAGAGACAGGGTTTCACTATATTGGCCAGGCTGGTTTCAAACTCCTGACCTCAGGTGATCCGCCTGCCTGAGCCTCCCAAAGTGCTGGGTTTACAGGCATGAGCTACTGTGCTTAGCCAACTATGGCTGTTTTTAAAAGTACATTTCATATTGTACACTTTTTGTGAGAGGCATTTGTGGAATTATTTGCTGAAACATTTGTTTACTTAATATTATATCTTTGACACTTCAATTGATTGAAGAAATATTTATTAGTCACTTACTTTGGACAACTTATTGCTTTAGTACAGTTTCTAAACCTTGACACTATTGACATCTGGGGGTGGATCTTTTGTTTTAGGGGGCTGTCCTGTGCTTTTTAAGATGTTTAGCAACATCTGTAGCCTCTACCCACTAGATGGTGGTAGCAGCCCCAGGTTGTAACAACAAAAAGTGAAAAATGATGGATGTGGGAGGGTGGGAAGAGGTAAGGGTTTGGGAGGGGAAGGAAGAAGACAACATGCCCCTTTTCAGTAATTTAAGGCAGTGAATAATACAGCCTATAAATGATACAAAAGGAGATTCTAAGAATTTCAAGGGAATTATTCTCCAGCTCCATGAAATGGTAATCAAAGTGGAATGGGTTTTGCCTCAAAATGAGTGGCACCTGAGGCACTTGTGTAATAGAGTAGACTATAAACTGGAAAAGTTTTTAAAGGAATTACACCATCTTAGAATAAAAGGAATTGGGATAGTTAAAAGTAATGAGGATTCTAGGCCCACAATTTTCCCTAAGAAAGAAGCAGCCTGAAACACGCAAGTATGAGTCATTTCTTAAGAAACAGGATTACTGAGAGTTCAGTGAGCCCAGAGGGAAAATCCAAGACCTTCAAAGAATAACAGATAAAGGAACTACATCTATGGAGTAGAACAGAACAGTGCTTTATTTGATAAAGAAAATGTGAAGATAAATGTACATCTTATATAAATTCTGTCAAATAGAATACATATAGGAGCATATAAGACCTGAGAGGGAATTCTAGTGATGTCATCTCACATGAAAAATATCCACTCACATTTAATTTTTCTGCAAATTTATAAAATAGAACTAGAGTATAAAAACAAAGAATATACTTCATAACTCTATACATGTCTGTTACTTGACTCAGAGACCTAGTATAAGACACATATACACCATGGAATACTATGCAGTCATAAAAAACCAAGAGTTCATCCTTTGTGGGGACATGGATGAACCTGGAAACCATCATTCTTAGCAAACCGACACAAGAACAGAAAATCAAACACCGCATGTTCTCACTCATAGGCGGGTATTGAACAATGAGAACACATGGACACAGGGAGGCGAACATCACACCCTGAGGTCTGTTGGGGGGTACTAGGGGAGTGACAGTGAGGGGTAGGGAGTTTGGGAAGGATAACATAGGGAGAAATGCCAGATATAGGTGGTGGGGATGGAGGCAGCAAACCACATTGCCCATCCTGCATGTTCTTCACATGTACCCCAGAACCTAAAGTGCAATAAAATATATACATTTTAAAAAAAACCCAAAGAATATACTTTATAACTCTATACATGTCTGTTACTTTACTCAGAGGCCTAGTATCTCCGTTATCAGAAAATTGGCCAACTATTTATAGGAAATGTTTTGTGAGACAACTAAATTGTTGTTCTCAAATTCCAGTTTTTACTAAAATTCTTCAGTGAAAACAAATCTGCAGAATAAGAAAGCAGCAAGGAAGTGTGAGAGATAGTATTAAGAGTGGTTTCTTGATTTGTAAGATATGTTTTCTATAAGTAAGGATGGGTCAAACTAGCAAATAGTCTAGTGGCCATTCATTTGTGAATAATAGTTTGTAAGTTTCCTAAATGCCAGAATATTTGAGACTGGTCTACTGTGATATTGTAGAATCATCCTGCTTTGTACATTTCAAACTAATGAGATGACTGTCAAGAGAACATTTGGATGGAGCTTGAAATTGAACTAAGCATATCAATTTATAACTTCATTTGCAAAATTCCTATACATATATGTATATATTTTACTTTCATAAGATTTACTTCATTTAAAAAAGTCACTACAGATTATTATAGTCATTAAAAAGATAATAAGATAATACTATAAACAACTTTGTAGTCATTAACTCAACAACCTAGAAGTGGACGAATTACTTGGAAAACGCAAATTGCCAAAACTTAGCTGAGATGAATCAGACAATCCAAATAGCTATAAAGTATTGAAGAAACCAAAGTTATAAGTTAAAAACCCCTGAAAAAGTTATCTCCAGGACAAAATAGCCTCAATGGGCAACTCTACCATAAACTCAAAGAACTAACATTGATTCTGCCTAACCTTCAGAATACAGACAAGGAGGGCACAATCCCCAACTCATACCAGGAGGCCAGCACTAAACTGACACAAAATGAGGCAAAGACTACATAAAAACAAAACAAAGTCCCAAAATAAAATCCCCCAAAAGCAAACACACAAAAATCTGCCCAAATCACCAACATATCAAAATATGTTATACACCATGATCAAGTGGGCTCCATTCTTACGGATATTTAGGCCCCAGCTGTGCTCACTCAAACGAGCCAAGAAGAATTAATATAATCTATTGATAATTGCCATGTCTAGATAAATCTTCCTAATTTCAAAAATGGTTTTATGAAAGAAAGCTTATTGTTATTTAAAGCCACTAAGTTTGGGGTAGTTTGTTACGAAGCCATAAATAAGTGAAACAGGCACTGATTATGGGATTAGTTTCTGATATAAAAATACAAAATATTTGGCATTTGCTTTGAGGCCATCAATAGGTAAAGGTGGAGAAAGTAATAATGGTTCACTCAGGCACCATTAGTAGAAGTGGGGGCAATGGGAGCCTGTGTCATATAATGACAGAAAAATTAGTAAATCTGTCACCTACAGTAACTTGGCAGATAGAAAATGCCTCAGTGAACTATTGGATCTTGCTAATAAGACTTTCAGGCAGAATATTTAAAGTACCAATTGGCTTATTTTAGATGTAAATGATCAGACATTGCAAAAGAGAGGTCAATTAAAGAAGGAAATGTTCTCTTTCTTAGCAGAATTTAGAGAAAATAAAGTGAGCACAGGATAATTTCATCAGCCAGGAAAGCAGTCTAAAAGTAAGAAATGAGCTTTGGGTCAAGATCAAATCAAGGGTATGTTACAGAGTAATTTCAGGCAGTGGATAATAGAACTTTTGAGTTATACAAAAGAAGATTCTAAGAATTTTAAGGGAATAACTCTCCAGCTCTATGACATGGTAATCAAAGTGGAAAGGGATTTGCCTCTAAAAGAGTTACGCAAGGCCTTGTGGAATAGGGTAGACTATAAACTGGAAAAGTTTTTAAAGAATTATACCTTCTTAGAATAAAATGGATTGAGATAGCTCAAAGTAATAATAGGACTCTAGGCCCCAATTTCCATGAGAAAGAAGCAACCTGAAACC